ATCCTTATTTATATCTCACCATAGATTGATGAGAAATGTTATCAACTTCTTTAAAGTTAAACCTTTAATAGCACCTGAATATTAGGCAACTGTCAAATAAATATAAAGTTTTATTATTCAAATTTTTATGTTCCATCTGTATTGATTAGTTTCTTGTGTATACTTGTTGAATTTGCATGTATTTAAGTTTTCATTTTCAACTTAAGAGGCAAAAGTGGTCAACATGTACAACTTTTTTTAAGTCTAATTATCACATTTTAAAGAGTATATATTAACAATACAACTTGGTAAATTTGAACCAATAATTAAACTTTTCATCAGGTGGGTTCCAGCCTGTGCTCAAGTGCTAATTGATAGGAAAGGTGACTGGGCCGATCTTGTACCCAAGCATGACAATGCTTCGTTGTTCAGAGTAGAAAGATTTTATTCTACGGTGGGAGCCCTGATGTCTCTACAACTTCGTTCTGCTGTCATGAAAAGCCTGAAAAATTGGATTAACTTTATGAAGTTGTATGAGGTTAATTGTAGTTGAAATATCTATGCTGTGACTTATATATGTGTTCTTATCTGAAGTTAATGACAGTTTCTTAAATATAACTTTGTAATCTGACTCGTTATTCTATCTAAATAAACAGACTCTTACATTATTTTCCATTTTCTTCTTCTTCTTCTTTCTCTGAGCTCCAGTGTTCTTCACTATAATTTTAGAAGTTTCTTTAGTATCAGATTAATATTAACTTCTTATCAAAGCAATCTACCTACATAGAATAAAAAATTAATCCAGTAATGAATATATTTAAATTAATGTACTGTTCTTAGTTACAATGGTTAGAATGGATTGTTTCATCAGTTGGATATTTTCATTGTTACCAGTATTTTTACCATAATCTTAATAATATCTTATGAGATTCAGCCATCTTAGAATCTATTAGACCCACTTGATTCAATATAAGAATTTAGGACTAATAACATGCAAAATTATGTTATAATATAGAAGATCAGCCATCTTAGGTCTATTAGACCCACTTGATTCAATATAAGAATTTAGGACTAATAACATGCAAAATTATGTTATAATATAGAAGAAATTTGTAAGTACATTAGAGCCTTCCTTTGGATATAAAGAATTGACCAATCAAAAGGAAATGGCAAACAAAAATATATAAAACTACATTAGATTTTTGTAGTTATTGAAATGTATTAAAATTCTTAACTTTTACTGTGTGTGTGTCAACCAATAGAGATTTTGCAGAATGAAAAGCTTATTTGCAGTATGTATTGTAATTTCTCTATATAAATCAGGGTTGTCTCCCTGTCAAGTTGTGGGAAACTGGACAGTAACCAATTTAAATGAATGGCATCTGGTTCACACAGTAATCAATTTAAATGGATGGCACCTGCTTCACACAGTAACCAATTTAAATGGATGGCACCTGCTTAACACAGTAACCAATTTAAATGGATGGCATCTGCTTCACACAGCAACCAATTTAAATGAATGGCATCTGCTTCACACAATAACCAATTAAAATGAATGGCATCTGATTCACACAGTAACCAATTTAAATGGATGGCACCTGCTTCACACAGTAACCAATTTAAATGAATGCCAAACTTGAGCGTTCATCCTGCTTGATCTCCGAGAGGACCACCCGAGTTCCTTTACAAAATTGATTTATGGCATCTGCTTCACACGTTAACATCAAATGTAGAGATTGAATCAGACAGGTAAAAAGAAAGAATGGAACATAAAATAATACCTTGGGAATGTTTTGGTTAGCATGTGTAATTTCTTCCACCACATTAGTTAAGAAGTCCTGGCAATGTGTTAAGTTTGGTACACACTGAACTAAATTATCTTGAACAGTGACTTTCAGCAACAGTAAACATGGCTGCAGAAACATCAAGTCCTCATAACTTCCAGCAAAATCATTTCCATCCTAATACAACAACAAAAAAAAACAAACTACATAAATACAATAAATTACTGGTAGTACTGTTGAATTTACCCAAACTGTAATGTCCCTAATCAACTTTTACCACTGACAAGTCAAGCAGGAATTAAAAGTTTAATAAAATAAAATTGTTTTCTATATTATAAGCAAATGTACCAGCATCTTGCATGGCACTTACTTCAATCGATTTATGGGGACGTGAGGATGACGTGCATGTGTGTCATTTGCCTTGCAGGTCACTAAATACAGGCAATAAGCAAAGGTGCCCATCCTACCTATAGTATTAAACATCATTTTTATTTTAGGAAATGTTCTATAGAAGAAACACAGTATTCGTTGATTTTGATTTTTTTAAAAATTACAAGAACATGCTGAAACATAGTTATTATGTGACAGCAGTCATTAGGTGAAATGTTTACTTGTTTTTTAATGAAATTCATAATTTATATTTAACGTAGTTTGGTTCACAGATGTATTTTTAGTGCCTTTAAACGTGATTGTTCTTATGGGAAAGTTGAGTGCCTTACGCTTGTGTTTTTAAGTTTTAAAAACAATAATAAGTTATTAGCTGTCATTAATATCGAGATGAAGAACTTAAACAAGTAGGTTTTTATGTTCTTGTAATCGTCCATTTATTTGTTTGAAAGTTTCGTCATCCTTACACATTTTGTCCTTCTTTTTATTTTTGTGCATTTACTCTTGTAAATTATATTCCTTACGAGACAATTGTAGTATTTATGTGCAAATTTACACCAGCCATACGTGACAACATTCATATTTCAGAATAGTAACCAAGTTAAGTCTATAATCTGTCTATTATATATACAACTAGTTCCTATCTGTTACTTAGCCACGTCTTCATTGTTTATCTTTCGAACTTGGTTGGTATAAGTAGCTTTGGGTTGCATTACGTTCTTGTAGTAACATATATGCAAATATGATAACTACTTAAAAGTTTTAATGTTTGCCACTTTATTGGTGACTTGAAGCATAATGGGAAATGTTTTTAAATTCTCCCTTTTTGTCCATCGTAGTGGTGGTCCTAGTTTAGAGGAATAGTGGTACACAAGTAAACCACTCCTGCATTAACAAGAGGTTCGACAATTAGGCTGGACAGAACGTTAATGTGAGAACAAGTGCACTGTTCAATTGTGTTACACAACTTTCAGGCTGAGAACAACATAAGATAAAACTAGAGGAACTTGAAATCAAAATGAAAATAAAATGTGCATAAAATAGCAGACAAAAATGTGCTAAGACAGTGATGGGACTACTTTTCCAGTGAGTTCTGACTTTCTCGGATTAAAACGAACTGTATCCTTCAAAACTTGGAATTAATCTTCTTCCAAAATCACAAAAAATGTATAAACAAAGCAAACTCTTTCTACAGCTGACTAACTGGAAAACATCATCAGAATACAAAAATATCTCTTCTCCATTTGATAGAGACAAGGACAAGGTATCTTTCAAACACAAGGTCAAGAAGGACACAATGCACCTATTCCATGAAACAGGCCCCGCATGACCAGGCGGTTAGGGCGCTCGACTCACAGTCTGCGGGTTGTGGGTTCGAATCCCTATCCCACCAAACATGCTCGCTCTTTCAGACATGGGGGTGTTATAATGTGATGGTCAATCCCACTATTCATTGGTAAAAGAGTGGCCCAAGAGTTGGTGGTGGATGAGTGATGACCAGCTGCCTTACACTGCTAAATTAGGGGCGGCTAGCACAGATAGCCCTCGTGTCGCTTTGCACAAAATTGATAACACACCAAACCTTTTGGAGTCACTGCGGATTACATTAAGATACTAGAGAAAGATGGGCATTGTAAAAGTTCTTAAGTTCTGCTATCACTTCAACAGGCTTGCTGTTTGTTTTAAACCAACAAGATGTGATGAAAATTTTCCATTATGTATTTTATTGTATATGATATGTTGAATGTATGTGTGTGTATGCCATGAAATATGGTTAAACATACCTTTTTACACCATAAACTATGTTTTTAGATATATTGAATTGCCATTTTATTTATTATGTATTTTATTGTATATGATATGTTGAATGTATTGTGTGTGTGTGTGCCATGAAATATGGTTAAACGTACCTTTTTACACCATAAACTATGTTTTTAGATATATTGAATTGCCATTTTATTTATTTGTTTTGAAGTCACGTTCATTACAGAAATAAGTATAGGGCATGAAATACTGGGATATGCTAATATAAGTCTTAAGCTCATTTACTTTCTAAATTTTTCTATATTATTCGACAAAAATGTGTGAATTTTGTAAGGTTCACTCTGCACCATTTTGAACTGTCCTGAGATAAGTGTGATTTAGAAGTTGTAACACTTTTTTGTAATATATATTTTTCTGTCCTCTTTAAAGATTGAGAAGATTTTGTTTCCAGAGATGAGAGAAAGCCAAATGTGTCTTTGTTCTGTCCTCATAGACGATGACTCTATGCAGGCTGCTGTGAAAAGAACTACTGAAATCTTTCAGAAGAATATAATAGGAGCTGAGAAGTTAGTTGACCATCATTGACTTTTCCCTTTGTAAATTCTGGTATCTATTAGATATTGGTATAATTATAAAATGTGATGCTACAATAAAAAAGTGTCATTTTAGTGTTGCTCTGGAATTTGTCTTTGTCAGAAGCAGGCATTTTAAAAACTTTTATTGGTTAGTTAAATAAACTTTGGAGAATTTTTTCACCATTTCTCACCCTGTTAAAAATTACACTCTGTGGGTAGTTGTCTGTTCCTTGTCTCGTTGGTTGTCCTCTGTAGGTAGTTGTCTGTTCCTTGTCTCGTTGGTTGTCCTCTGTAGGTAGTTGTCTGTTCCTTGTCTCCATTGGTTGTCCTCTGTAGGTAGTTGTCTGTTCCTTGTCTCCATAACCTAGGATTTGTATTTGTCCATTGATAGATATGTCTGTACTTTTATGTAATATATATATATATATATTTAAATGTTTTCTGTTCAGAAGTTTAACATGACACTGAGATGTAGAAAGAATTTATATATATATATGTCATCAGTGTTATTTTTGACTTGTTTATATCTATATAACTATAATAGTACTGTCTGTTGTATGTCCGTGTAATTACTTCGTAGGATGTGAACAGATCTTCAACAAAATGGGTATGGAGGTTCATTAGGTCCATGTGGGGGTACATAAACATTTTCTGCTTTGTGTTTTTTATGGCCGTTTTCACATTTTATGGGCTACATCTTTTAATTATTTATTGTTACATCAGGTTACATGTTTTAATGGTTCACTGTTACATCAAGTTACATCCTTTAATTGTTTATTGTTACATCAGGTTACATCTTTTAATGGTTCATTGTTACATCAGGTTACATCTTTTAATGGTTCACTGTTACATCAGGTTACATCCTTTAATTGTTTATTGTTACATCAGGTTACATCTTTTAATGGTTCACTATTAATGGATCTTCACCAATTTTGACATGAAGGTTTGTTGGGTCCATGCAGAGATACATGCAAAGTTGCAGTTTCACATTTTGTGTTTTGCAGTTTTTATGGGCATTTTTGAGTTTTTTTGCAATTACACGTAAGGAAAGCATCTTTTCATGTCTTAAAATAACCTTTCATTAATCGTGAGTTTACACAACTTTCGTCCAGGGGACGGGTACTCCAGCAAGCTATAAATAAAATAGTGACTTTAACATCTAAAAAAATGAGAGATAAAAAATATCATAAAGGTATTGTTCTCCAGATGAGTTGCTCTCATCAATTATGGACGGATATCCTGAAAAAAACGATCTTATATTATTTATCAATATTTAAAAGATGTGGTACGTTTAAATGTGTTTTATATGGTTCTTGTCATGCTAATTAACTCCAAATTACAGTACTAATTTTGTGTTTAAATGAACCTAGTTTAACATGTACAGGCAAACAGTACACAAGCAACAGAACAGAGAAAGTAAAATATGTTTTAATGAGAGTACAATTTATCCAGATTTAACATCTATTTAAGGTTAAAATCTTATCAGAAGAAGGAGCCAAAGTTGTTACCCTGCCCACAACATCACTCATATAAACTGTTCCAAAGTTGTTACCCTGCCCATAACATCACTCATATAAACTGTTCCAAAGTTGCTACCATGCCCACGACATCACTCATATAAACTGTTCCAAAGTTGCTACCCTGCCCACAACATCACTCACATAAACTGTTCTAAGGTTGCTACCCTGCCCACAACATCACTCATATAAACTGTTCCAAAGTTGTTACCCTGCCCACAACATCACTCATATAAACTGTTCCAAAGTTGTTACCCTGCCCACATCACTCATATAAACTGTTCCAAAGTTGTTACCCACCCACAACATCACTCATATAAACTGTTCCAAAGTTGTTACCCTGTCCACAATATCACTCATATAAACTGTTCCAAAGTTGCTACCCTGCCAACAACATCACTCACATAAACTGTTCCAAAGTTGCTACCCTGCCAACAACATCACTCACATAAACTGTTCTAAAGTTGTTACCCCGCCCACAACATCACTCATATAAACTGTTCTAAAGTTGCTACTCTGCCCACAACATCACTCATATAAACTGTTCTAAAGTTGTTACCCTGCCAACAACATCACTCATATAAACTGTTCCAAAGTTGTATGCAGCTATTTCTGAGAAAATAGTTGTTACTAAGGGATATTATTTTCTTATTAATTGTTTTTTTAAAGCACAAAGTTGCACAATGAACTATCTGTGCACTTTTAACTGTGGGTATCAAAACCCAGTATTTAACATTATAAATCCTCAAGTTTTATTATAGTATTGATTATTTTTTTTTCAAGGGAACAAATTTATATTATCCCAGTATATATATTTTGCATATAGCATATAGCATATTTTGTTGTTCTTAACTTAAATACTTTCCCCTGTTTTATTAGGAGTAGCTACCTTCCCATATTTGACCAAATACACTGAATGGAAATTTTAGGTCTTGGATGATGTGTGTTGCAACCCGAATGTTTGCTTCTAATTTTGTTGTTATTCTTATTCTATATATGAGATTAAAAGTTAAATATTGTATGTATCACCATTGCTGTGTGGCCCTACTTTTTTAGATACTTCTCTTACACGGACAAATGTTTATCATCTCCGTTACTTAGCTTGTGCTCATGTTTTACTTATCTCCCATTATTGATTGATAAAACATAAATTATTATTTTTCCTTTGATATAGATATTGATAATAGAGATTTAGATTCACAAAGTAACTTATGCTGTATTAGATGTATTTTAAATGTATATTCAGCTAGATCTCCAATATTCCATACAAAAAATGTTATATACTTTTATATTTTCACAATTCTCTAGATACCTCAAGAGGTATGATGAATTTAATGGACTTCTTGATGGGTCAGTTGGGAAGCATATTACCAGTTTCATCAAGAAAAACCCTTCTCTATTGATATTTCAAGAAGTAAAAACTTTTTTGTACTAATTTGAACAGTAAAGGAATTATTTATGTAATTAATATGGAACCATTATCTTATAATGGTTCACTGTTGCACCAGGTTATATCTTATAATGATTCATTGTTACATCATGTTACATCTTATAATGGTTCATTGTTACATCAGGTTGCATCTTATAATGGTTCATTGATACATCAGGTTACATTTTTTTAATGGTTTACTGTTAGGAAGCTAATTTTAGTTAACACTAGGCCAAGATGCTTTTAAGTTTACACATAAGTCTTGGAAAAAAATTATGAAAACTTCTGAAACATTTAGAGTTAAGATGAAATTGTACTTCCACCTCTGCATTTTAACCATTTTCATACTTTTAATTGAATGTTTGTGTTTTGATAATTAAATTTTATACAATAAGCATATCGCAAGATATTTAGCAGAAAACTGATTTTTTAAGTAACTTCATGATAATCATGAATACATCAAAAAAGGTAATTTCCAGGAACTTTCGAAGCTGGAGCAGATGAAGAAAGCAATCACAGAACATTGTAATACTGTACCATTATGCTTGATGTGTTTGGATTGCTCACCAATTAAAGAAGAACTTTGTTCTCGAGTTCAGAACTTGATTCAAAAAGTTATCGACTTTAAAGTGAATGAAAATAGAGAAAACAATCGAAGGTAATCTTTGATTTTATTGTAATTATTTAATAAAATATTACTTTTAATATATATTTTCTATTATTTAATTTATCCAGAACCACTTCTATTAGAAAATATAGTTTTAATGTTCTTACACATGTTCGGTAAAAATCATACAAGTCTTAGGTTATATAGGTAAAACAATCCAAAAAGTATTAGTATAAGTGTTATGATAGAACAGGTGGCATGAGTGCTCTTTTGTGATAAATTGTGTTACTTTGAAGGATTTGTCAGAAGTTTGATGAAATGTCAGAAAAGTTGAATAAAACTCCTGAGACTACAGTCGAACTTGTACATTTGATGGATTACCTCAAAGAGGTTGGTTATGGCTTCTTGTATTTTATGTTTACTGCTGAATTTGTTTAAACATTTAAATTTGATTTTTTTTCTTATTAACTACTCCACTGAATTAGATAAACTACTCCACTGAATTAGATAAACTACTCCACTGAATTAGATAAACTACTC